TAATAAAAAAATATTTATGTAAAATGTAATCAAACAAATTACAATAAACATTTTGTTGCATAGTTGAATGAGTTGGTGAGAGTCCAGTTGGCCCGCTACTCTGATGTGCTCACATTAATGCCTCTCTGCGCTCCACGTCTTTTACCCCCGTTTGATCTCAAATCATTCTATTTTAGGTAAGCAATTATGAACTTACTGATAGTCACATAAAAAATAATAAGCCATGTTTGCTAGGATCAGCATCGACTGAGTCATGGGGGATTTTCCAAAAATGCCTTGATCGCGATGGGTCGCTGCTCACCGATAAACTTTTTGAACATCATATGGGTTGATTAGCTTTACTTGTTTCATATTCATAGAAGATTTAGTTAGTGTATGTGAGTGCTCCTCCTTTGAGTTTGACCATCATCCATCTAAAAATATGACGTTGAGGCAGTATGCAGATTACTGGTCAGATTTCCACTCAGCAGCCGATACTAGGCTATTATACCTTAAAGATTGGCACTACTTTAAGTGTGTACCGAATAAAACGTTTATTTTTTAGGTTAGAAAGGGATAGAGGACTGTATAGTCTGCCCAGCATTTTCTCTGCTGATTGGCTTAATGAATTTTGGGATATGAGGGATGTTGATGATGATTTCAGATTCATGTATCTTGGTCCTGCCGGTACATGGACTCCTCTACATGTGGATGTTTATCATTCATATAGCTGGTCTGCAAACATTTATGGTCGTAAAAGGTGGTGGTTATTTCCTCCAGGTAATAATCCATGGCTCTATTGTCGCCTCACTATTGCAACCTTTAGCAAAAATGCATCAGATATCTGTTAGATGCTTAATATGGAATATTCTGATAATGCCTTTACAATATATAATTTTGGTTAGTCTCCTACTTGATGCTTTTCACACAATTATGGCGCATGCTTAACAACCGTATTTGGACGACTGCAATGTAACTTTAAAAATAAGAGATTCCATAAGATTGCATTTATTTTACCTAGCTTTTATTGCAATTAATGATGATTCCAGTCCTAGTTAATCAATCCCCCCATATCTGAGAAAG